CGAGACGGGGCTATGGATCCAGGTTTGTGGGGTACATGGCTGGGAAAGGCTAAAGGGGATCCCCTTTCCCTAGAAGTGTTGGAGCACATAAAGAAGGCTGGGGACGCTGGAGAGAAACAATGCCCTTATTGGGCCAGGAGTCAGCTGGCCCTGAGCCAAGGAAAGAGGAATGGGGTGTCTCACCCCCCCATCCCCACCCCACCCCCCACCCCCCAGTGGGAGGTCGCCGTACTACAGCACGCCGGTAGTTACCCAAGCTTTGCAGGCCGTTTCCTCCACCCCCAGCCCCTTCTGGCCAACGCTGACGTCTCCTTCAAGCTGATCCTCACTGGTGAGTAACTGCCCCCAGGCAGTGCAGGGAGCATCTCCTGCCAGGAAATGGACCCTGAGAACACAAACCTTCCCCTCAGAGCAGCAGAACCATGCCAAGGAGCTGGTGTGTGCAGAGGAACTGAGCCGCTGGGGCGCACTGGTGGTCATGTCTGGAGATGGTCTGATCCACGAGGTGAGGGCTGCTGCACCAGATGATGGCCTCCGAGTGGGTTTTCTGATGGTGTTTTCCTGTGCTGAGGCCACTCCTGCTTCAACAGGTGGTGAATGGGCTCATGGAACGGCCTGACTGGGAGACTGCTATTTGGAAGCCCCTGTGTAGCCTTCCAGGAGGCTCTGGCAATGCACTAGCAGCTTCCTTGAACTACTATGCTGGGTGAGAGGCCAGAGTGGGTGTCATCCCCCCTCCCCCACCCCCTCTACCAGGTTTTCTAAGTTGCCACTCCTGCCTCATCCTCAGATCACTGGCTGGGACCAGTGGTCTCCACTTGCTGTCACTGCCCCCACCAGCTCCCTAGGGACCACATCACTGTCTGTCCCCAATCCCCAGGAAGAGTAAAAAGAGGATGCATGGGGCTCATGCCCCGCCCCATCTGACCTTGAACCCTGCAGGTATGAGCAGGTGACTAATGAAGACCTCCTGACCAACTGCACGTTGCTGTTGTGTCGCCGGCACCTGTCACCCATGAATCTTCTGTCGATGCACACTGCCTCTGGACTGCACCTCTACTCCGGGCTCAGTCTGGCCAGGGGCTTCATTGCTGATGTGGATCTGGAGAGTGAGAAGTACCGGCGCCTTGGGGAGATGCGCTTCACGTTGGGCACCTTCTTTTGCCTCGCAGCCCTACGCATCTACCAGGGTCAACTGGCCTACCTTCCTGTAGGAAGCACCATCTCTAAGAAGCCTGCCTCTCCCCCACTGATGCACAATGGCCCTGTGGACACATACCTCATTCCCCTGGATGAGCCAGTGCCCTCCCACTGGACTGTGGTGCCCTACCAGGACTTCGTGCTGGTGCTGGTACTGCTACACACCCATCTGAGCCCCGAGATGTTTGCAGCACCCATGGGCCGCTGTGCGGCTGGCGTTATGCATCTGTTCTATGTGCGTGCGGGGGTATCGAGGGCCATGCTGTTGCGCCTCTTCCTGGCCATGCAAAAGGGCAAGCACATGGAATGTGACTGCCCCTACTTGGTGCATGTACCCGTGGTCGCCTTCCGCTTGGAGCCCAAGAACCAGAGGGGTGCGTTTTCTGTGGATGGGGAGTTGATGATGTGTGAGGCTGTGCAGGGCCAGGTACACCCTGACTGTTTCTGGATGGTCAGTGGCAGTAGAGATGTCCCACCCAGCTGGGAGACCCAGCAAAGGCCAACCTCCAGAGAAACCTTTATGACCTGGCCCCCTGTGCCTCTGTCTACTGTCTAGACTGAGATGGGCAACCTCCCTTCATTCCCTGGGATGGGAGGGTCTGTCCATTGTTCACATGGAGGTGGTGGGACCCCTCTATAGAGTGCAGGCAGGTGGGGCTGTGCTTCGAGAAGACAAGCTCTGTTCTCCAAAGGCCAGAATGAGACCCTGGGCAGGAGTGCTGGCTGGGCCAGTTGCCTGTGGAAGACCCCTCCAATTGTTGTAGAAATCCCTCAAGAATCAAATTCAAATAAAGTGACATTTCCAACCTGCTGGTCCTTCCTGGAGATGGGGGTGGAGTGAGGCAAACCAGCCAGGGCTACGGTATTGGATGATGGGTAGCACAGCCATTTTGTAGTATTTGGGATTGAAACCATGACCTCTAGCATGCTAGGTAAGCTGACTACCACTGAGATACAGTCCCATGGCACAGTCATTTTGGTGCTAGGCACATGGACTCCTTATACTTACTGATAATCCATCTTCAGCCTGCAGACCCTGAGACTGGCCAGCTGCCCAACCCCACACAGGAAGACTACTCTGAGTCAGCCACACGGGACAAATGCAGAGGGAGGCCTGTCTGGATTGAGCAGGAAGTTAGAAGCCTTAGGGGAACGGGCAAATTCTGTCCTAATTTAGAGTGGTCTTGGTAGGTACTAGAGTACATAACTGCAGGATGGGAAGGGGCCTCCATGTGGCTATAGGTGAGCTGTCATCTGCTTACTTCCCAGTGTGGCTGCTTTGGGGTCCCCTATACTCCTGCAATAACCCCCTCATATACCTCCAGTATACTCCTTCAGTAACCCCCTCATCCATCCTGCTCTGTAAGTAAGCCCAAAGTCACTGGTTCTCCAGGGTGAACTCTGCTGGAACTGTAGTTTAGTTTGTTGTTGGGACCTTAGGAAGGGGGGGGTGGTTTACTCTCTCCAGGGAAGGAATTCTTGCAACAGATTTCATCGTCAAAAAAGGCAGGAAGTGGTTCTCCAGAACTGGGCAATCCCTTTGGTTTGTTGCCCAGAATTACTGACACCTGTCCATTGCCAGATCCTGTGGTGTCAGAAGGAGCCTGAATGGGACGGTTGTAGGCTGCTAGGGACCATAGCTACTTAAGAGGCAAGTACTGTACTCCACACTACTAAGCTCAGTGTTGGCTGGGGGTGGGGTGGGAGTGGGACTCTGGGCACACAGAGAAGAAAGGCAACAGAGCTTGCACAGCAGAGGCAGGTTTAATGGTGTCACCTTGTCTTCATGAGCCAACCCCCCAAAAAATGCAAGTAAAAAGAAGTTTAATCACACAGCACTTTATACAGATATTGTAAGCAGTAGGCATTCACATCACCACACGAACGATGCCCTGGAACGCATAGCGGGGGTGGGGTGGGAGTGGGGCTCTGGGCACACAGAGAAGAAAGGCAACAGAACTTGAACAGCAGAGGCAGGTTTAATGGTGTCACCTTGTCTTCATGGGCCAACCCCCCAAAAAATGCAAGTAAAAAAGAAGTTTAATCACACAGCACTTTATACAGATATTGTAAGCAGTAGGCATTCACATCACCACACGAACGATGCCCTGGAATGCATAGCCCCACCAGGCACTCAGGATGCCCTCAAGGTACCGACTGGTTGTCCTTCCCGAAGTGGCAGCGCCTTGGCGGCCCTGGCACAGCACAGGTGTGGAGCCCACTTAAGGCTGACAAGACGCATCATGCTTTGGCTTTTAATCTTTTTTTCTGTTAAGAGTTAATATCTTTGCCTCTAATATTTATTTTTCCGACCTTAAATATTACATACATACACCAGAAATTACATAGCGGCAATGTGCTCAACAGCATCCTCTCAACCGGGAGCTTCACATTATCAAAAGCTTAGAAAACTTGTAAACCTCTGGGCCTGGGGTCGGGGGGAGGGGAGTGTCAGCTCCTGCAGCCTCGGCCCTCTGGACTACAACTGCGGAGTCTGTAAGCCAAGGGCTACTGGAGAGGTCAAGCCACTGGGTGGGGAGCGGCCCTGGCTGGCCTGGCCTGGCTTGTGCAGATGCTCCTGTTACCTCAGTGGGGATGAAATGAGGCTGGAGGGGAGTAGATTCGGCATAGACCACACGGGCGAGTCTTGGCACAACTGCCAGTGTCCCCGACAGCCATGGACTGGAAGGGCAAGGCACCTACAGCCATTTCTTTCCCAGCAGCACCTTGTCCTCGACTCCATGTTGGTGAGGGCCACTAGCTCCTCCTGGGTGTCACTCTGATCCTTAGCTCAGTTGCAACCTCTCTTAGAGAGTAAGTTCAACAGGCCTAAGGGCTAGAATGCACAGACAGGCCAGAGTCAGGATTCAGCGACAGTGGCTACAGCTCCCAAGAGATAGTGTTGACGCTGGGGAATTGGGAGGACCCAGTGGCGGTGGCAGCTGGAGGGTCCAGGGCATGGGGAGGCTACGGTCAAACTGAAGAGGATGAAAGGGACCAGGGGCATCGCAGGAGCAGCCCACACTTCATGCAAGGCACATCCACCCTCCTGCCCATCTGAAGACCCCAGTCCCAGAGTCTGACACCAGTTTCCCAACACCCCACCTCTGACCTGAGACGGGGACAGCAAGGGAGCATGTGCCAGGACATTCTGCCTGGGGCAACAAGTGGAAAATCGCATGGGTTCCGACTTTCTGTGCCTCAGGGGACCTGCCTGTTGAAACATCGCTTCGGGATAGAACGCAGCATCTCGGGACACTTCTTGCGCTTCAGCATCAAACTTGCCGCGGAGAAGAGAGGGCGGTGGAGGGCTCGCACTGGGGACAAGGGTGGGGGGCAGGAAGAGGGGCTATTCCAGGGAGGGAGGGGGCAGGCAGCGGCTGGCCTCTCCCACCGTGAGGCTCCTCCTCTAGGGCTGGTGGCTACTTGTCCTCTGTGCTCTCAGGCATACCTGCCTCTAGCAGGGCAGCACGGAACTGCGTCAGGACGCCCCGGATGCTCTTGATGAAGCCCTTGGAGAGGGGGAAGAAGGGGAAGCCGATGTCGGGGTAGCCACTCTTCTCGGGCAGGAAGCTTCGGTAGCTCTTTCTCCGTTTCTTTGGTTTCACACTGGGTGGCACGGATGCATCGGGAGCTGTCTCAGAAGTCTGCTCCGTGTGGTCCCTGCTGGTTGAGGCTGGGCCTTGGGCACCACCCTCTGAGTCTGAGCCTTGGGAGGCCTCCCCAAGGGTCATCCT